CGATGCTGATGCGCTGGGGCCAGAGGAGGGGATCTGAGCCACCCTGAGAGGAAAGAAAGGAGGTGAAACAGTGACACCTGCTCCTTTTAAAGTCCCAATGGCAGGGTCCCGGGCTCCTGTCTCTCCTCCCAGCCCTTCCTGTCCTCTGCAACAGCGCTCGACCCGCATGGTCTACTGGCAGGGGACCAGTTTTGACATCTGACGGATCTGGGTGGAAATCCCAGCTCAGACGTGCACTAGCTGTGTGACTTGGGAAAAGACACAGCCTCTCTGAGCCTCGCTTCCTTCAGATTAAAATGGAAATGTTCATCCCTATGCTTTAGGGTTGTTGAAAGGATTCAAAGAAGTGTGCGGTATGTCCCTAGCATACGGTCTGCCACACAGTGGGTGCTCAACAAACTTTATCATGACTGTTACAGTGGCAGCTCTGGAGTTTTTCTCTAGGTGGGGCTGGTTGGGAAAGGAGCTAGGGAGCTTGTGTTAGCACACCAGGCCCTGGACCTTATGCCCATTTTATGTATATATATTTGGGGAGACTTCACAAGGGATAATGGACATTGTGGGGTGGGCTAAATTCTGCTCCCTTTCCTCAGGTGCTACCACTGTTTTTCTAAGACTGAATCTCCAAGCTAAATCACCACTTATTTCTCAAGTCCTGTCTTAGGTCCCACATCCTCTAAGAACTGGCCTTGCTCATTGATTTCTTCTCAAAAACTCTGAAATATGGAGACACGAAGAAATAAAGGGCATCAAAATTGGAAATGAAGAAGTAAAACTGTCCTTATTCACGGATGACATGATATTGTACATAAAAAACCCTAAAGACTCCATCAAAAAACTATTAGTCTTAATAAATGAATTCGGCAAAGTAGCAGGATACAAAATTAATGCCAAGAAATCTATGGCATTTCTATACACCAATAATGAACTTACAGAAAGAGAGACTAAAAAAGTAATCCCATTTACCATCACACCAAAAAAATTAAGATACCTAGGAATAAACTTAACTAAAGAGGTAAAAGACCTCTACTCAGAAAACTACAGGACGTTGAAAAAAGAGATAGAGGAAGACATAAACAGATGGAAGAACATACCATGTTCATGGATTGGTAGAATCAACACCATTAAAATGTCCATTCTACCCAAAGCAATCTATAAATTCAATGCACTCCCCATTAAAATACCAATTACATATTTCACAGACCTAGAACGAACTCTCCAAAAATTCATCTGGAATAAAAAAAGACCCCAAATAGCTGCAGCGATCCTGAGAAAGAAGAACAAAGTAGGTGGGATCTCAATACCAGATATCAAGCTGTATTACAAAGCCACTGTTCTCAAAACTGCCTGGTACTGGCACAAGAACAGACATATAGATCAATGGAATAGAATAGAGAACCCAGAAATCAACCCGAACCAATATGCTCAATTAATATTTGACAAAGGAAGCAAGAACATGCAATGGAGCCAAGATAGTCTCTTCAATAAATGGTGCTGGGAAAATTGGACAGATACATGCAAAAAAATGAAACTAGACCACCAACTTACACCATACACAAAAATAAACTCAAGATGGATAAAGGACTTAAATGTAAGACGAGAAACCATAAAAATACTAGAGGAATCCAAAGGCAACAAAATCTCAGACATATGCCGAAGCAATTTCTTCACTGATACATCTCCTAGGACATTGGAAACTAAAGAGAAAATAAACAAATGGGACTACATCAAAATGAAATATGGAGCCACATGAAACCAGTTCAAACCCTAGCCCTGACACCTGTCAGCTGTGTTCTTTTGGGCAAATTGCTTTGCCTCTCTGTGCCGGACACTCCTCTTTTAGAAAATGGAAAAACCTGTTGGGTTTTGGCAAGGCCTGGAGGAGACATGTGTAAAGCCCTTGTCACAGTGTCTTGCACACAGGAAGAGCTCAGCAAAACTAATGATCATTATCATACCATGAATAACTGCTTTACTTGGACCCTGCCAAAGGAAGTAATAATTCCATGTGGAATAATTTTATTTCCCTCTGAGGATTTTATGGGAGGGATGTTTGCTTTTAAAATTGTAATTTTGCCCAGCAAGCGTGGCTCAGCAGTTGAGCATTGACCTATGAACCAGGAGGTCACGGTTCAGTTTCTGGTCAGGGCACATGCCTGGATTGTACGCTCAATTCCCAGTGTGGGGTGTACAGGAGGCAGCCAATCAATGATTCTCTCATCTTGATGTTTCTATCTCTCTCCCTTCCTCTCTGAAATCAATAAAAATAGATTTTAAATAAATAAAATAAAAGTGTGATTTCATCACTTCTCAGCCTTTTGGCTAAGATCAAGTGATAAAACTGTAATTTTTGTTGTTGTGTTGTTAATCCTCACCCAAGAATATTTTTTCCATTGATCTTTAGAGAGAGTGGAAGGGAGAGGAAGAGACAAAGAGAGAGAAACATCGCTGTGAGAGAGACACATTGGTTGCTTCCCACATGCGCCCCAACCAGGGATTGAGCCTATAGCTGAGATACATGCCCTTGACCAGAATCGAACCACGACCCTTCAGTCTGTGGGCTGACACTCTAACCACTGAGCAAACCAGCTAGGGCTAAAATTGAAATTTTAATAAGTATTTATTTTGAAATAAAATTTTGCCTCCACTTTCCCATACTTTGTATCTTTTAATTATTTTTCTTGTCCTATTGCATTGGCTATCACCTCCAGAACAAGTTGAATAAATTTAGTGCTATGGGATACTTTATCTTGCTCTTGACTTAAATGAAATGCCTGTTGTCAAATAAAATTTTTATAGGATTTTACCTGAAGATGTTTAGCCAGATCTTATGTATCCTGGACCAACTTCTCTTAAACGGCCTCTCTCTCTCAGGACTCTTATGTGTCCTTAACCACTGATTCTCTAACTGGGTACTGCCTGGTTCTGTTCTCTGACCATGACCCAGCCTCTTACCTGGCACCGGAGTCTGTCTTGTAAAGAACCATTTGCCATGTAGGGGTAGATCAAGCTGTAAAACTGTTTTCCAGTGCAGACGCCCAGCAGAGGTAAGACATTGGGGTGGCAGCATCTGAAATCAGGCATTAGTGCAGAGGCGAGGAGTCAGACAGAAAGCGTAATCAAAGACTGCTCCAAGTCCTCACCTCCCACACCTCTTATGCCCTCTCCACTGCCCTGAGGGCCCAGCACCAGAGCAGAAAGATGGAAACTGTGTGCCTTCAAGGAGCTGGAAGCCAAGTTGCTTGAACTTATCCTGCCTCCCTGCTCTGCAGCATATGACACCTTAACCACTCCGTCTTCTGGAAGCAGAGGCTTAGAGACTAAAGGAACTTGCCAAGGTTATAGCTAGCAAGCAGTGAAGCCAGGATAAGATTGCAAGTCTGCTTGACTCCCAGGACTGGAGCTCTTCCCCAAAATCCTCTTCCGCTGAGTCTGTCACCCATTCCTTCTGTCTCTTCCTACCCTCTTAACCACTCTTTCTTGGCCGTTCCCCAAGACCCTCCT